TCCTCGGGTTATATGCTACGCTAGTAAGAGCTTAACCGCAACGGAGAAACGTTACTGCCAGACTGAACGTGAAGCGCTGGCAATCGTTTGGGCTGTGGAGCGGTTGTCCGTTTATCTCATTGGTCGGAAATTCGAATTGGAAACCGACCATAAACCTCTGGAGGTAATCTTCTCGCCGTCTTCGAGGCCTTGTGCTAGAATAGAGCGGTGGGTCTTACGCTTACAATCCTTCACATTCGAAGTTAAATACAGGAAGGGTTCAAGCAATGTCGCAGATTCTTTCTCTCGGCTGGTGGAAGAAGATAACGCGGTGGAGTTTGAAAAGGATAATAAGTTTCTTATCCTTGCGGTAACGGAATCGGCCGCAGTGGACGTTGGAGAAATAGAGAACGCGGTGGAAAGGGATCAACAATTACGATTGGTAGTTGAAGCTATGCGATCTGGATCATGGACCAGGGTGGAAGTTAAGGCATTCGAACCATTCCAGAATGAGCTTGGACTTGTCGGAGATTTGTTAGTGCGTGGAAGTAAACTGGTGGTGCCGGAACAGTTGCGGAAGAGGATGCTGGACCTTGCACACGAAGGTCACCTCGGTGAATCTTTAATGAAGCGTAGGCTGCGGGATAGAGTCTGGTGGCCCCGGATGGATGTTGATATCACGTCATACGTCAAGAATTGTGAAGGCTGTCGACTAGTCGGACTTCCTAGCAAACCGGTTCCTATGTCACGCAGAATGATGCCCACAAAACCATGGGTGGATGTGGCCATAGATTTTATGGGTCCACTTCCGTCGGGTGAATACCTGCTTGTCATCGTAGACTACTTCAGTCGATATGAAGAGGTAGAAATCATGGTTAAAATAACAGCTAAGGATACCGTTGGACGTCTCGATAGAATTTTCACTCGACTCGGATATCCACGTACCATGACACTTGACAATGCCAAGCAATTTGTTGGAAAGGAATTTGAACTGTACTGCAACACCCATGGGATTACGTTGAACCATTCTACACCATACTGGCCGCAGGAGAATGGTTTAGTTGAGCGGCAGAACCGATCCTTGCTGAAGCGCTTACAAATAAGCCACGCTCTCGGCCGTGACTGGAAGCAGGATTTGCAGGATTACCTTATTATGTACTATACTACACCGCACTCTTCAACGGGAAAGACGCCAACTGAGTTGTGTTTTGGCAGAACTATCAGATCAAAGATTCCATCCTTGGAGGATATCGAGACGGCACCGGTTAGCACCGAATATACAGACCGTGATCAAGTACTGAAAACAAAACAAAAACAGAGGGAAGATTTGAGAAGAAGGGCTACGGAATCATCAGTTGAGGTAGGTGATACAGTTCTTATGCAGAATCTCGTTCCAGGTAACAAACTTACCACAACATTTAACCCAACGAAGTTCAAGGTCCTCAATCGCAGTGGGGCACGTGTCACAATCGAGGATCAAGATAATGGACGGGTTTTCGACCGTAACGTTTCTCATGTGAAGAAGATAAGTGACGTGGGTGAAACCGGAAGCAACCAGGACCAGGATGTACCTTTTCAGAAGATCATCGAGTCAGATTCAGACGATGATGAAGACAGAATGGGTTTCCACGGATTTGAGGAAGAAGACCAGCAGAGGGATGTTTTGCCAGAGAGGGAGCGATGCAATCGCCGAGTACCGGACAAGTTTCGAGATTTTGTACTGTAAGCGGATTATCTAAAATTTATATAAAAGGGGAGATGTGGCAGTCCGTAAGTAGCCACAGCCACTGGGCTGAAGCTGAGCTACGGATGTCAATATGCCGTACGGCTAACCACTGGGCAGACGGACGGTACTATGACATCTGTAGAGAAACGTAGAGGAACAGATAATCGTTAAATAAACGTTCTTATTAAAAGCACTAATTATTAGTTGATTAATCATTAATAAAACGGGTTATCACAACGACAATCATAAAAAAACCAATAATTGACAGCTATTTATTCCTACCTATGTGTGTGAATGCACTCGTGAATTAACACACACCACCATACACAGGTTCCACTTTTGCTCAGAAGAGGCGTTGCCGTTACTGTCTCCTGATTTTTGGCAGACTTGCCAGTCTTCTTGGTTTGTAGTCTTCTCCTAAACGTAAAGGAGAATTTCCCTTCCCAGTTCGACAGAGTCCGGCCTTGTTGTCGTTGACCGGCTCCGTCAGAAGGAAGCGCCTATGCATAGTAACCATCTGCATAAACTGCTATACCAGCTAAAACCAACCCCCATCGCACTTCAGCCGACGTACGGCAGACACGCTAGTCCGACCGCCATCTCGCGTAGTCACCGGTAGACTAGTCAGTGGTACCGTCATCTTTCCGACAAGGCTAACCTTGTATAATAAGCCATTACCGGAATTGTTCCGAAGTTTCAGCGAGCGGTGGTACCGCCATCTTGCCGACAAAATCGGCCTTTCATCGTCCGGCCATTGACAGAATCGTTCCGGAACCGCAGCGAGCGCTCGCTGGACTGCAATCGTTGTCAAAGGTATGTGCCAGAAAATCAACCACACCACACAATCCACACCATATTTAATTTGGAGAAATATAGCCAGCATGACTGCTGTCTCAATGGGTCTGGGTTCAATCCCAGTCGAGGTCGGTAGGATTTTTCTGAGGCACAAAAATCTCTGGTCAAGTACAGCCGTTGGTCCCGGCCAATGTGTGTTTGAATGGGTGCGATATCCTACGCAGGTGTGGAAGCTGCCTTCCTGCACATTCGATTGCCGTCAATGGATTGGAATCGATTTCCGTCGGTGATTGGCACTAGATTGAATGCCTAGGATTTGAGCGGAGGGTTACAATTGAATTTTAAACGAATCCCAAGGGAGTTCTGACTATAATTTCAGGAGAATTATGAGGAGAATTCGATGCAAATTCTGAGGACAAATCCAAATACTAATGGCAGTTTCGACTGGTTGATTGGATCTCCTTGTTTGGGTTGGTTTTCTCAGTCTTGTAAATAGAAACGATTGGTTTTCTACGTACCTGACGTTTCGGCCTTTTGGTCAAGGGTAGTATCATAGAGGTATCTCTAGGACCAGAAGGTCCCGAAGAAACGTGCTCAACTTTTTGGCTCAGCTCTGGTACTCTCTTCAGTCCCACGTTAATCGATGCACCCCTCGAAACATTGGAAAATTCACGACCCCTCATTTTATCTTTCATAGCGAATGAGCGTATGGTAGATATGGTAGATAGTTTCAAAATGTTCTCACTAAGTGGCGGCCTCGGTGGTGCCAGTGTACATGGGAGCTTCCTGTATATCTACATTTGCCAAAACGTCGTTATACCACCGGTTGCAAACTAACGATTTAAAATTGGCTCACTACTTGACTAGCCTATTGGTCCCAAGCAAATCAATTAACGTATCCCATTCTAGGCGAAATTCTAGTACTACACAAGGGTTTTGATTCGCTATGAATGTTTGACAGATAAAATGAGGGATTCGTGGATTTTCCTATGATTCGAGGGGTGCATCGATTAGCTTGGGACCGAAGAAAGTACCAGAGCTGAGCCAAAAAGTTGATCACGTTTCTTCGGGACCTTTTGGTCTTATAGTTACCTCTATGGTTATACGTCGCCTTTATAACTCGCCCCCGTTAACCTTTTGTCTGTGCCTTGGGGTCAATTTGACCTCAGGCAACTTTAAAAGGCTGTAACTGTTGACGTAGGATTCTTTCGGCAACATATTGGGGGTGCAATTCCAAAAAACCCAAATCGACCGCGTAACGAACAGTGGTCAGGTTTTGACCACTTATAACTCTGTCAATAGCGGATGGATTTCAATTTTAAGCAAGCCAATCGAGTGGAAATTTTTCTACTAATCTGCTAAAATAAACACTTTATCAATTTTCGAAAGGTAACTGTTGAAAATAACACTCATGTTCAGCTGTTGCAATGGTGACCAAAATTATCACCGATTGTCTGCAAAAAGCGCTTTCCCTAGCACAGATTTCAAAATCGAATTCCATCCGGTCTCGCCGAACAATGCTTATTCAATCACCGTGTGTGGTGGTGTCCGATCGGTCGTCAGCAGCAGCAGCAGTGCTTTCTGCGCGTGGCGTTGAACATCTAGTACACAGGCTGTCCGCAAGCAGCCCACATGGGCGTCCACTCAACGAAGAAGGAGGGAGAAGCCGCACCGCTTCTGATCGGATTCAGTTGCTCGTCGTGAGCCACTGCGGATCATCTATGCCACATCACTCAGCGAAAGGAACTACGAGAGGGGGAGAGAATCGGTTCGGAATGCTGGTGTCCCATCGATGGAGGATGCCACTTGCCTCTACACAGCTGGATATCCAATCGTGCCTGAGGCAACGAACGATGCCATTTAGCAGGAGAAAATCGATTCGGCTTTGGTGAGGGATTGCATTAGATACCGATTGCTTATGGTTCACACTAGCGCCACTTGATGAGTGAATTCTGAACTGAACTCTTTACATTAGGATACGCCTTGTTCATCTGAACAACTTTGCCGAAGTCGGAAACCTTCTATCTAGTTCATATGTTAAGTTAGGTTAAACAATTAAAAATTAATGTCACACTAGTGCCACCTGGTGAGTGAATTATGAACTAAACTCTTCACCTTAGGATAGGTCTTGTCCATTTGAACAACTTTATCAAAGACGGAAACCTTCTATCTAGTCAGGCACCACTCTGAAGTTTTCACCAGTAAAAGGTAAGTCGTTTTTTTTACGATGCTTGGTTCATGAGTAATTAATTTTCAAAGTACGTGATGTCCGGGAAAATCCGAGAACTTCATCAAAAATTTTACAAAAAAATTAACCACCCCGAATTTTTAATTTTTTTTTTGTTCATTTAACCGATAATCAAAAAAATCCCCTAGGCTAACAAGCACCATCTAGAAATTTTGATATGCGCTTTCAGCAAATGTTCTAAGGTTTCATTCACTATTCATATTACTGAAGCGACAGATATCGATATCATTATTAACCCGACCACCAACTTACCAACTGTATCCACGTGTTGAAGTTCAACGAAAATTCCATCGTTTCCACGTAGTGCCACCACTTGGGAGGGACGATCAGTACCATACCGGGTTCCAAATCGACATGGAATGCTTCGCTTTCGACTCCTGAAAATATTTTCCGTGTTAGCCCGAACTCAAACCCATTAGTCATTCGGGCAAATGTTAAACAATCCCCAGCACCACCTACCAATGACCCTGGAATACGCCTCCGGACTGTACAAATTCTCCTCGCAATACACACTGGATTCCTCATAAGGAACCCGGGTAGCCTTCAGTTTCGCCTCCGGTGGAAACAGCAACCATCGCTTCCGACCGTGCACCTGCACCACAATATTGCACCCATATGTGTCGTAGTGGCATGGAGTGTGCGCTCCACCGGATCCAATCCAGAAGGACACATCCTCCCCGACATCCGGAAAGCCAAACCCCTCAAAATTGACTCCCCTTCGACACCGCTCCGGAAGTTCATTGACGTACCGGTAGCTGTAGGATGCCCAGTTTTCTCGGAAATAGTCACCATCACCCGTGGCTTCTTCATAGAACTCGGTCATCGTCTTCCGAATCTTCCCTCGAGTCCGCTCCCACTGTGGTCTTCGACCGTTCCGCCGCGGACCACAGTCCAGTAGAAATCCATCCTCTCCGCTTTGATTCGAATCATCCAAATGGCTCAACCATTCCGATAATGGCTGATCCATGCAAAACCACGGAATCTTAACATTACGCAGGACAACCGGTTCGCGAACATTCAACACTAGATCCCGTATTACAGCTGGGTCCATTATTTGGTGTAACTACAGTGCTTTTACTCTTTTCGTGCGCCGGCTGTGATTTTGTTTGTAAACAAAGTAAGGTAACCTATAAACCAAAACAAAGAAAAACTGCGAAATATTTCACGCAAATTCAAATGGTAACGGGAAATGTTTCAATCATCTCGCTGTAGCCGAGCCCACAGTCGGCAAATCGCCCTCCCGATTTTACAGAAGATCCGGCCAATCCAATGGAGGCACATTTTAATCCGCCCGAATGTCAACTGGATGCATTTGGATTTATTTTCCAGCACAAGAGCGATGGCTGAAAATTAAAAAGGTACGAAAATTTCGATTAACACAGTTTAAATCACAACCCAAACTCTCACCACCCAGCGAATGTCCACATGCCAGCGCCAGGAAGGCCCCCTGCAACATCCGCAGGTTCATGGGCTTCAGCTTCTCGTTACTCTCAGCAGCCTTCTTCGCTTTCCCACTATCTCCTTCCACGCTGTCCGGTTTGGTCGTCATCACCGATTCGTCATCGAACTGTCCAATATGGCTGCCGAACATCCGCTCGTACTCGGCGATCGTTATTTTCTCGATTATTCCCGCCTCGAACAGGCGCATGATCCTATAAAAAAAGAACAAATTCCCTGCAGAAAAAAACATCCAATACCGATTTCTACACTGTTACACTTCATTTAAACTGTCCAAAAACGGTGATCCGAACTGCACGGCTACGGCCGAGTACCGCGTGTATAGCTTCTCGCTCAACTGAAAGCGATGAGCTCCGTAGCGCTTCGTGTTGAAGTAGAGCGTCTCGCGACCTCCAAACACGGCCCGTTTGGAATTGTCTACCAGGATGCGAATTCCTTCCTCAACGGATGATACCAGATAGGATTCGTTGTGCGACTGCTGTTGGGTAATTCGATACAGCCGCTGCAGGATGCCGGTACTGTTGACCAGAGCCGCTTGGAAGGCACTTTGCCGTTCCACCAGTAGCTGGTAGCCATCGCGTTGCATGAAGATCTCCAATTTGCCAAGAGTATCTGCGGAAGTTAGGTTAATGTTCAGCAAGCGTAGATATATCTGCGCCCGAGTTACCTATCGGTCCTTCACGAGCAGGTCGGGCTAGTTGGGACGTCAGTTGAGCAGAGTAAACGTCACCTAGGACGTACGTCGCACATAGCCACAGAAGGATCGAAAAGAATCGGGATACGTGACCATTGTACGGGATGGTGGCAGCTGAAACGAAATTCTCATAAGCAACCTTTTCCAACGAATACCCTTTTGGAAGTCATACACTGCCTCAGATAAACGTTGATCGTGTACCAGATGCAGCGATCCAGCGTTGGATGCTGAGGCGTCCCTGCTATCTCCGCCCCTCCGGGCAAAGCACCGTGGTTCATTTCCTGAATGTACTGCATGTGGTAGAACGAAGGACCCCGCTGGATCTTGAACCGCCTCGTCCGTGCCATCCTACCGCGAGACCAATCCTCCAACCGGTAAGGCATAGCAATAATCATGTAAAGAATCGGTCCGGACATCATGATGGTCAGCAGCACCAGTGGCCATACCGTCACCTGAAAAGGTCTTACCAAAGCCAACGCTTCGCTGAGCTTCCTCGGAGCGTGCGTAACGAACGCTGCCGAATCGGCTAGAGTAAAAAAGGAAAACTCCACTGCTTGCATCCGTTCCCATGTCACGGCAACATCGCCTAGGAACAGATCTACTTCGCGTCGCTGTAACATACCGAGAGCTCCCGTAAAGGTGGCATTCTCCGCTGGACCAATCGCCGTTCCCTGTATCCGATCCTCTTGATCAATGTACTTGAAGCTGAAGTTCATCCGATGAGCGATCAGCTGTATCAGATTGTGATCCCTTCCGCCAGTCACCTTGAAGACGGTTTCCTCATTTTCCGTACTGTTGGTGCTTAGCTCCAACTGGTCCGTCTCCGTATCATTGTAGGACGATTCATTCAACTTGCTGTAGGTGACGAAATGCCACGGTGGTTTCTACAAAATCATCAACTCAAGATAGTGTTCAAACAAACATCAACCCCGTTAATCTCACATGAATAACCGGAATCGTAAACACGCGCCCCTCAAAGTTCTTGTACACCGTAGTTGGAGTTGGCAGCAGGGGAACCTTCTGGAATGTCATGTCGTTTCCGTCGAACCAATTTGTACTCAGCAGCTCCCCTCGGTTGTTCGGCTTGACCTGGTTGTAGAATATCCGGAAAATGTTCTTCCGAGGATTGGTAATGACTGCCACCCGAAGGGGTTCCCGTAGGAGTGACCGATCCAGCTGGGTCGGTACCTTCCGTACTCCCCAGTAGAAGATGTACAGGCTCAAACGGTGCGCCAGGCGGCGTTCGATGAGATCCTCGAGCATTTTCTCCGGGTGGCAGAACAGCAAACTGGTGGTTTCCAGCGATTTCTTCAAGTTGCTGCCGATGTACCGGAAGTATTCGTCCAGGTTGTTGAAGATGCAGGTGGGGATGTTGTAGTGGTGGATCATCACGGTCAGCCGATCGATCTTGTCGATTTTGGTTTCGTTCAGCACTAGAATCGCGAGGGTTTTCGGAGCTAGGAGGTTGATCATTTCCGACAGACCGAGCACCATTCCGGAATGGTTGGAGGCATCCGGGAGTGGGGCCAAGTGGGCATGGTAAACCGTTCCTGCAAGGTCAGAAGCAATAGCAATAGGTATATAGTGTATAAGCATGAAAGTATATAATTAGACCCTCGGCTCATTGACAAATTCTGCCTGGTGACGACACAACTTAATTTCGATGGAAAAATGCCTTCAAAGTCATCGTCAACTAAGTTGAAGTAAAAAATAAGGTGAACGATACACCCGGCTCAACGTTTTGACCTTAACCGGAATTGGAGAACAGGTCTTCGGATCCCTCAAAATGGCAATTCATGGTGCTGCTCGACGATGTGAATAGCGAGATCAGTCTCTAGGTTCTATGATGACCTGGCGAAGGTGACGAGTGATGCTGGTAGATATAAACCGTGGCCACTGGCGTGCACAGGGTGGTGCAATTGCCCCTCCTTTTATAAATAAGATTTTTCCATATTTACAAAATTATCATATAAAATAACTTGATCTTGATAACTTGATTTGAAGGTAAAATAACTTCATTTCATAATATAAGGGCACTGAAAACCTTTTATTGCGTCAATGTCTTTGAGATGGTGCCTGAACATTGCACCACAAAGGTGCATGAAGGGACAAACTTCAATTAAATTTTTCGGTCAAAAAAATTCAAGTGTAAATTTTTGTTTCAAAGGTGTTCATGGAGGGTTAAAAGAAGAGGGTAAATTTAAGGTTAGAAAAATTCACCTACGTGGTGGTAAATCGAAAAAATCAAGGTGGTACATGGAGGGACTAATCAAAATGAATAATCGGAATCTCGCTAAAAATTTGGAGGTGCTAATTTAACTGAAAATTTCTGGTGGAAAGTTTGCAACGTGGTGAATGTAGAAGCAAGGTTTATTCATTTTTCTGGTGCATAATTAGCATCGTTCTGATGAATGCAAGCTTCATTGAAAATTTATGGTGGAAAATTACATGAAGAGCCATAGCCCGAAAATTTCACCACAAAACTGCATGGTGAAACAAACTTCACTGACAATTTTTGGTGCACCGTTTTGGTGAATGGAGGAGCATGCTTTTTTGAAAATTTCTGGTACAAAATTTGCATCGCTCTGATAAATGAAAATGACAGAAAACTTCTGGTGGAAAACTTGCACTGGTCTGGTAAATGAAGGCACAAGTTTTATTTAAAATTAAGCTATATTGAAAATTTCTGGTGGAAAATCTGCACCGTTCTGGTGAATGGATGGGCAAGCTTTTCAGAAAATTTTTGGTCCTAAATTTGCATCCTTCTGCTGAATAGAGAAACAAACTTTAAGAATCATTTCTGGTGTAAAATTTGCACCATTCTGATGATTGGAGGGAAGCTGCTTTACTGAACATTTATGATGAAAAATCTGAAAATATGGGCAAGCTTTATTTGGTGCAAAACCTGCAACATTCTGATGATAGGAGAAGCAAGTTATTGAAAATGTCTGGTGGAAAATGGAAAAAAGTAAATCTGCACCAATCATTGGAGAAGCAATTTTTATTGAGCATAAACAGTAGAAAATTCGCACCGTTCTGGTCAATTGAAATTTTCTAGGGGCAAGTATGTATTGACAATTTCTGGTGTAAGATTTGCAACAATCTGCTGCATGGAGGGGCAAGCTGAATTGAAAATTCCTGATGTAAAAATTGCAGAGTTCTGGTGAATGGAGGCCCGCATAAACGCGAATCATAACTTTACCTTACCGAAAATGGTTAAAAATTGTTTATAATCCTTGCTAAACTTTAACTGAAATGGTTATGGAACTTTACATGAACGTTTGTGTGATAAAGTTTGAACCTTATGTATTAAGGTTTTTTGGAAGTGAACCTTACAAAAAATGGGTTGTTAAGAACCATTACCATTCCAAATTCTTGTTTTCAACATACATTTTTGGGAAAGGAATTATATTGGAACCATTTTATTTATGGTTTGAGAACTTTAATGGTAATGGTTATGGTAGCCAGTAAGTTTCATTAATGGTTTTGTATTATCGGTCAACTTTACGTGGAATATATCGCGAATTGGTAATCAGTAATTTACAGGCAACCTATTCGCGATATATTCCACATAAAGTTGATGGATGTTACAAAATCATCTGTGAACCTTACCGACTACCATAACCATTACCATTAAAGTTCTCAAATCATAAATAAAATGGTTTCAATATAATTCCTTTCCCAAAAATGTATGATGAAAACAAGAATTTGGAATGGTAATGGTTCTTAACAACCCATTATTTGTAAGGTTCACTTCCAAAAAACCTTAATACATAAGGTTCAAACTTTATCACACAAACGTTCATGTAAAGTTCCATAACCATTTCAGTTAAAGTTTAGCAGGGATTATAAACAATTTTTAACCATTTTCTTTAAGGTCATGTTATGGTTCGCGTTTATGCGGGGGGGACAAGCTTTATTGAACATTTCTGGTAGAAAAAACTACAACGTTTTCGTGAAAGAACCTCAAGGATATTAAATTCTGAGGGCAGTTCCAAAAGAAAAGATTTCTGCAGATGATTCCATGAAAATTCTCTAAAATAATTTCCAGTGAATGCAGGAGTGAATGCAAGATAATTTCGAAAAGAATATCGAGAGAATCAAATATTGAATGGAATTCCAAGGGATTTTGAGGAAAATTTCAAGGGAATTCCTAGGATAATTTCCAGCTCCATCTGGGAAGAATTTTTGGAGAATACAGAGGAAATTCTTCTGAAATTTTAGCGGAATTTCAGTTCCAAGGTATTCTGAGAAAAAAGAGTTCTACTATATTCCGAGAAGAACCTCAAGGATATTAAATTTTTACGAAAGTTCCAAAATATATCTGGGAAGAATTCAAAGAAAATTCTGTGAAAAATTTCTAGTGCATCCTGTAGATAGTTCCAAGATAATTTCGAAAAGAATACCGAGAAAATCAAATTTTGAGTGAAATTCCAAAGGGATTTTAAGCAAAATTTCAAGCGTATTCCAAGGATAATTTCAAGCTCATTCCGGGAAAAATATCTGAGACTCTACAGGAATTTCAGTTCCAAGGTGTTCTGAGAAAAAATATGAAGAGTTCTAAATATAATTCCAGTGGACTTCTGAGAAGAATTTCAATAAAGCATGTAGGAGCGTTCTAAAAAAAATTGAAAAAACGTAAAGGACATTGAATTCTGAGAACAGTTCCAAAGGATTTCTGGGGAATATTCCAAGAAAATTCTGCGAATAATTTCTAGTGAATCCTGCAGATAGTTCCAAGATAATTTCGAAAATAATACCGAGAGAATCAAATTTTGAATGAAAAGGGATGTTGAGGAAAATTTCACGGGAATTCGTAGGATAATTTCAAGCTCATTCTGGGAAGAACTTCTGGAGAATACAGAGGCAATTCTTCTGAAATTTCAGGGGAATTTCAGTTCCAAGATGTAATGAGTAAAAGTCAAGAAGTGTTCCAAAAATAATTCCAGTGGACTTCTGAGAAGAATTTCAAAAGAGCTCATAGAGTTCTAAACATTTCTAAAAGAACCTCAAGGAATTCTGATGATGGAATTTTTCGCAACTGTACAAAGTTTAAAAACAGCTTTTGGATTCCCTAATTGAAAAGTTGGTATTAGTTTGCTATTGAACCTTGGTCTATTGTTGTCGTACTAAAAATTCGTCTAAGAATCTTCTCTGAAAATATCTTCCGTGAAAATACCGTGGTTATAAAGTTACAGCTGTTGATGTGCGCTGCAATAACTTCGGGTTTGTTCTTTATATCATCTTTAAAACATGTTAAATATTCGGCATAACTTTCTGTCACCCCGACTGGCGGTACTTTGGGACAGAGTTAACATGCTCAATCCTTCGCACAAGTCGTCATTCCGTTAACAATCCTGTACTCGCTTGTCAAAATAGTTTTGTGCGCTTTTGTTCCAATAATTACATATGTTTTAAACCTTTTTAATGATCTTATTAGCCTTGGCATTTAATCAAAATTTGAAAAAAAAAATAACTACGATTTTCGCTGAAAATGACCAAGTTTAACGTACTCACAACGGTTATGGTAAAGTGTAACTACAACAACATATAAGCATAGGGGTAACTCTAAGACTAGAAGGTCCCGAAATAACGTGCTCAACTTTTTGGCTCAGCTCTGGTACTCTCTTCGGTCCCAAGCTAATCGATTCACCCCTCGAAACAAAGGAAAAACCAATAACCCCTCATTTTACCTGTCAAACATTCATAGCGAATCAAAACAAACATTGCGTGGTACTAGAATTTCGACTAGAATGGGGTACGATAATCGTTTGCTTGGGACTAATAGCAACAATCAATACGAAACTAACGATTTTAAATTGGCTCACCACTTTAGTAGCCTATTGGTCCCAAGCAAACGATTAACGTACCCTATTCTAGTTGAAATTCTAATACTACACTATGTTTGTTTTGATTCGCTATGAAAGTTTGACAGATAACATCAGGGGTGTGTGGATTCATGCAGAACATGCAGGGGTGAGTGAAATAGCTTGGGACTGCTTGGAACCGTTGTTCTGGTACTGAGTGAGCCAAAAATAATAATGATTTTCTTCGGGACCCAGCGGTCTTAGAGTTACCTCTATGCTAATAGGCTAGTCAAGTAGTGAGTCAATTTAAAATCGTTAGTTTCGTATTGATTGTTGATATAAGGCTTACAAAACCTTGAAATAGTCAAAAATAAACTGTAACGATGCCTTTAAAATATACAAAAACGTACTGCACAAAATATCAGAAAGGTAACTGAATAAAAGATGATACCAGGACCTTGAAGAATATATTTTTCTGGGTTTATATTTTTAACCTGTAAAGAAAAACATGACGCAAAATATTATTACAACGATTCCTACAGGGTTCAGAAATTGGAAGAAAGCGACCGAGTTGCTGGGCAAACACAATCGCAGTGATACCCATATTGGTAGTATGGAAGCGTGGAAAAATGTCAAAACCTCAATTCCTGAGGTCCTGACAGCGAAGCAGATTTCTTGGGAGCAAATGATGGCAGTATGTTTTGACGATACCAGCACAATGTGCTGGAGTACAAGCCAGGTGCAAGGACAAAAACAGCAATAT